CTTACCAGAGCCCCCCCCCCCATGGATTACTGCAACTCCACAGTGCTGTACAGTAGAATCCATTTTAAGACACAACAGGCTGTATCTTAACAGAACACACACCCCAAGGGGTTTTAGGGGTGTCTTACCCCTACAGTATTTGTTTCCGGAGAGTAAGTCATCGAGACAAGAAAGTGCTCTAGGCATTCCAGAGTTATGTTGGAACATACACACACACAGCCATTTTTATATTTATAGATATTGTTCCAAACTTGTGTTGAAATATAAATGAAAGATAGGATAATGGTGCTGCCTTGATAGTTACGGCTGCTGTAGTTCGCAACATTTACGGGAAATCATCTATCTCTGATGTAGGATATACTACCATGCCCAAACATGACTATTGCAATACCTCTGTGGTGACATGATAAAAATTTGCCATACGCTAAATAAATAAATCATTTTGTTCAATGACTTGAGATTCTGGTCTCAGTTGTGATCATAAGTCAAGGACTATCTATATATTTCCACCTTAACAGGTGCTCTGATCCTCTAAGACAGCAGTCCCCAGCCTTTGTGGCTTGGAGGGCAAGGGAAGGGGATAGTTCTGTGTGAGCAGCAAGTGCACATGCAGCTTCATTGGCCCGTGCCTGCTGATTGTTCAGCCCAGTTCCAAAAAGGCCACAGCCCAGTAGTGGGCCGCAGCCCTGGAGTTGGGAACCCTGGTCCATTGGATTGTTTGAATACTGTCTGAATTGGAGGAGGGAAGGGGAATCCTGCTTCAAGAGGGGATATTGTGTAGTTCTTGAATTGTATGTTTTTGGATCTGAGAACTACGTTCTTTTGTATAATAGGATTTGTTTCTCCCTTTCCTATTTTTGTCAAGCAGTTTGGGGCTGTTCAATCCAGCTTATTTAGTTGTTTTTATAATTTTATATTGGATTCACATTTTCCTTTGGTTGTTATTCAGCATCCATGAAACAGGATGAATCAGAGGTGGTATTCAGCCGGTTTGGACCGGTTCGCTCGAACTGGTAGTGGAAATCACGAGTGGGTGGAAAGCCCATCCACCCACCTACCCTGGCTCTATGGCATCCTATTTAGGCACATTTTTAACGCTGGGCGCATGCACAGAAGGTGCGTGCAGGAGCAAAGCACATGCGTTGAAGTCTGGGTGCATGCACAGAAGGCGAACGTTCAGGATGAACAGGTGGTAACAAAATGTGCAATCCATCACTGGAATGAATGGCTTAATATACACCCATCCTGCTGTGCATTCAATTTCAAATTTACCTTGCAGACTACATTGATTGTCGTAATACTAAAAATATTGGATTAAATATATATGCTCCTTGATTCAAAGCAACTCGGAGTATTTAATGGTTCTTGATGCCCCAATAAGTTTGCGCTACGTAATCCTTGATGGAATATGTGATACAGGGGAAAAATGAAGTATTGATTCTTCTTTTTTTTCAAATGAAGATGGAATTAAGAGTGTATTCTAGACACAGGAGATTAAAAAAATGGTTTCAGCAATGTTGATAGCATTGGCCTGTTGAATGATAATCCCCATAGCTGAGGTTTGCCATAATTAGATCTTTCGTCTGTAGTTTTGCTTAAAAGTATGTAAATTATCCACTGTCAGGGTTCCAAATAGCATCCAAAATTAAATCAGAATCTGAGGCAAAGGATTCCTCAAAGTTCCAATTTATTCAGAGCGCCATATTGGCATATCGGGGAAACCCTGAATCTGAAAGCTTCCAGGTTTTCCCACCCAGTTGAAAGTTCAACATCCTTCCCTCACACCCACAAGTCCATCACATGGTCCAATCTTCCACTGCCATGCTAGCAGTTCCACCCATCCAGTTCCGGCCAGGTGCAGAGACAAAAGATGACCTTGGCTTTCTAGAAAGAATATTGCTATGGCTATATATCACTCAACTCTGTATAACCCCACCTCCCATTTTCCCACGATAGAAAATGCATAGTAGAAAGTGTGGCAGACCTGAAACCTAAAGGGAAAAGATAGCTTGTAGGTCTGACACTGTTTTTCCTTTCCCAGGAGCAGATATTTTATGTGAAAACGATGAGCCCATTTTAGACCCTTCATCCCAACCCAACAGTGACATTGAACTGGATGAAGAGGAATGGGACACAGAACTGGGAGAGACTTATGGTGAACTGACCATGCAAGGCCTGGATTATATTCCTGTGTCGGAGAGTGAGCAGCCCAAAACACATGAAACAAATCACGGTCGGGGACATACCCCACTTGATTTGACTTGTAGCCAGAAGGTAGGTCATGGCTGAAGTTGTTCAGTTGATTGTTGAAGCAGTGAAGTAATTCAGTTACTACCTGTTTCCCCGAAAATAAGACCTCCACGGATAATAAGCCCAATTGGGCTTTTGAGTGCATGCGCTAAAATAATCCCTCCCCCCAAAAGAAGCCCTCCCCAAAAATATTTAAATGCATGTGCAGCCGGTCCCCAACATTTCCTAGGGTGGGGAAAACATGCCTCCCACATGCACCTGCCATCCATGCGGAACGGCCTTGTGAAGGCCATTCCCGCAAACCTTAGCTCCCACGCCCCTTTTCTTAGTGGTGGCCACAAAGAGCGGCAGGCTCTCTGACGCTAGGACTGGCAAGAGTGTGCCAGAAATAGAGATAGAACTTCCGGCCCTCTCTGGATCAGGTGATCTGCAGTCTGCAGGCCGAGTTAAGGGGCCTCCTGCACTTCAAAAATAGGTCAAGCACTTATTTTTTGGGGAGGGGGGTCAAAAGAAAATAAGACAATCTTATTTTCAGGAAAACATGGTACATCTGTTAAGACCTTCTCATTTGCTCTTCATGTGTTTTTTACATTACATTTATGGTAAAATGGGCCTATATATACTGTTGCAGTTCCCCCATGAAAGATAGTCTCCTTTGAACAAGCACTGATGTACTAAAAGGTAACCTAGTAGAAATATTTCAGATCCAGTTTCTTTCTTCATAGGTTAGAGAGATACTACTACAAGCTTTAAAACAGGATGTTGGAGAGAAGCAGGCTGGTATTTCTTTTGCATCTAACCAAGGTGGGTAAATCTGGCAAACTCCCACTACAAACTAATCAACTTGCCTGACTTGATGTGTGCAAAGTCATTTTGGATACCTACTTGCTTCTGATTATGGAGAGGGCACTGTTCTATTTTGGACGTATATATTGCACCTGCCAGCAGAGCTGGCAGCAGAGTCAGACAGTGAGGAGGTTGGGGAGGAGCATGGGCCAGTCCTGGAGGCTGGGAAAGGCTCGGACGAGGGCTCTGCATCGGAGGCAGAGACGGGGGTCAAGGCCATCTGGCAGTGATCAGGTGCCTATGGAGCTAGACAGCAGTGAGGCAGAGGAACAGCTGGAGCCTGTTCCCAGTGTGCGCATGCGCAGAGCTAGCAGAAGAAAAGAACAGCTCAGAAATCAGGATAGACTGGGGAGTAAAGTCACAGGTGGAAGGTGATTGATCCCTCCCATAGGTAAGTAAGTAAGTAAGTAAG